TACCGCTGGAAAAGAAAGGATTTCAGAGAAAAAATCACTGTTCATGTCAAAAAAAGCTCTTGTAGGAGGTTCACTAGTGATATTCTATCTTTTATGTACCGATGAGACACATGTGATTATAAACTTCACCTATAATTACCATTAAACCAAATATGACGTCCAAGCGATGGGCAACACTTCAGACGTGAAATTGATCTTCTTTTCGCTCTTACAGCGTCCTATGATAAGTTTTCAAAAAACCACTTAGATTTTCAAAATACTCAACATATGGCCTATCGAATAGCTTATAAGACCTGAGTGAAGAGGAATATCGAAGTCCAAGTCGAGCAAATGAAGAAATTGAGTGTGAAACGTATTTTTATTTTCACTGTTGCAAGGCAATGAGAAAGCTCTTTCAGAAATTAGATATATCGTTTAAATCGCAGAGATTCTAATAATTACTGACCATCTGCGAGAAAACATTTATACAGCAAGAAAGGTCTTCAAACAATCGTGTATCTCAGGTGGTGCACGTCGTCCCTAAGGGGTTATTTATGTACAGAATTTATGTTACATGGCGCCATCCACCTTCTATGCATTACTTTGCTATGTTCGGAAAACATCATTGCATATTTTCGTAGATGAATGACCTGAATCGAGATAACCACGTGGAATTATGAAACAGCCATTCAGCGATTAGTCAAATGATTTGAATAAAAGCTTCCGTGGTGTAACGTAATTCAGGTAACCCATCGTAAGCTCGAAAGAAAAAAGTTCTTGGCATCGTCATTTTCTGAGAGATTCGTCAAGCATATGGCTTCAATTTTTAGCTTCGTTTGAGGTGACAGAACGCATATCTGGCCTCTAAAATATTTCGCGGCAGTCTAAAAATCTGTCAAGTTCGTGTTGCCATCGTCCTAGGCTTCTCTGATATTAATTCTCCGGTTCCGGAGGAGTGGAAGATTTTACGAGCCTTGAACGCGGAGCCAAACCATCAACCATCAATGGATGGTTCATGTGTGTGGCAGGGCAACTCTGACCAATGCGCCGCACGACATCCTTGTATATCGCATGAGTACAAAGAATTGGTACTTTTCCGTCATCCATACCTTGTTTCAGCCCCTTGAAAAACCTATTTTTGTGCCGTTTTCTATCTCCAAGTATTCATTCGGTAGCTGAAATCAGAAGAACGTGATTGGTGTTATTCATTCCAAAAAGAATGTTCTATTGCGCTGAAAGATCAAAAGCAGTATTTTGCTTCTCATTTGAACACTTCTCGCTGACCAAAGCTTTTCTTTTCGTATTTCAGTAAGTAGTCAATAGATTAAGTTTCAAAAAATCCAATTATGCATTTGGTTTTTTAAATAAGTCATGTGTAGCGCTGAAACAGCCAAAAAGAGAATGGGTGTCTCAAAAGTGGATTGAATTCGTGATCCGCAAATAATTTCGACCTTTCAGAAAAAGGTCTTTTTCAGCCGTTATCTATGTTTTAAAAATCGTTCCACATCCTAGATCAAAAGAGTGTGATTAATTTATTTTGATAACAAAAAGGCTTCATTCTTGTGTTGAGAGAGCAGAATAAAAGTTTATTACTCGTTCAAATATTTCCCGCTGACCAGAGCTTTTATTTCAGAGTTTCAATTGTTTGTTGACAGATCAAATCCAGTGATTCCCTAAAATGTTTTTCCTTTCTTAGATGGACTCTAATGCTTTACAATGGCTGGAAGAAGACTGGGTTCCACATTCGATGCGAAGGGTATGTTTTACCCGTAAAGGATATGCTATTGACATCGTCAAAAAGTCTACAGACTGTTCGCAAACTCCAATCACTGACCCTTCTCGCACACACGTTCCGTCTGTAATACGGCGCGTCGGTGGTGCAACGCTTAACATACGCTCCCGTAATGAGTGAGGTCCGGGTTTGAATCCCGGCTAACGCAAGTGTTTTTGCACAGCACTCCACATTATTGGGTATATTGTAACATCATACCACCGCAAGTGGCGGTCTAATAAAAAGAATTCCGATCAATTTGTTTCTGTTCTTTGAGCGCGATAATAAAACATTTTTGGAAATAAAACATATCGTTCAAATTCTTTTGATTCAAGCTATCAAATGATTGTTTGAACATCAAAAACTAACGAAAAACAAGCTTTTTCTGGAGGGTCGAAACACGGTATAGATAACGGAAGGGTGTCAAATAATTTACACAATCGTAGAAAATTGTCCTTGCGTATTGTGCACGTCATTTTCCACAACGTCAACTCAAACTACATCGAAACCTCAGCTCTAATATTGAATGATGTAAAAACAGCAAAGTGCGTGCACATAGGAAAGCAGTGCCCTTACCAGCACCCAGATTAACAAGAAATCAGTCACAGGAAGCCTCCAATGTGAGGGAAAGCCTTTGCCTACGATATTAGAGGTTGGAGTACAATTTCGAAACAACACCATAATTTGAATGAATGTTTTCATTAAGTATCTCGTATTAGCTCAAAGAAACACCAAATTAGTGAATCTAAAAGAGTCTTGCCTCAAACTTTGGCATTACCAGTTGGTCTTATGACTTGGTTAATTTGAGCAAAAATACGAAATTAATGGAATAAATTTATTTAGTCAACGTCTCCAAATCTCTGTCTTCTTCATAGCCGAAAATACTACATGGTATCTCGAATCGCTCGCTTTTGTTGTGGTCTTTGTCTCGATTGAGTCAAATCTTCTTTAGTGGATCACTGCTTAGCTTCAAGCTACTCGCTTAACGAAAAAATCTCATGCAATTTATCAATAATATTGAAGTTGAAAAAAAGTCGGTTTGAATTAGTTTAGTGTTGGGGGTCAGCACTAATTGAAATCGACTTCTGCAGAATAGGCTGTTCGCTGAAGCACAAAATATCATTAGGAAATAATCGGCATCACCAACATCCGCCCTGTGTATACTGGCATCGGCGTGTGAAGGTTCTTTGTTCGAGCGGGCGCCATCCAAGAAGATTTGACGCCCAAACGAACACGACAATGACAAATGACAGCGGATATCGGCTCGATCGTCTCTGCAGAACATGAAGCGTTGAAACGAAGCCGAACAAATTTATTTTAATCAACTTCATGCTATTTTAATCAAATTGGTCAACAATAAAATGTGAATTGTTTGCTGATTTATTTAAGCTGAGTTTTCTAGACGGGGATTGTGGAATTTTTTGATGTAGTAAACAGCGCGCCCTCTCAACTCACTGTCAAAGGCAAAACTTTCGAAACGTTAAGATGAGAGCGAAAAGAATGTGGAACTGACTACACGCTCCGCCCTCACCGCGGCCAAGCCATTCCGACAGTACAAATGACAAGCATGAGCAAGATGTTAATCAGTCTTCACTCCTTTAATATTTCTCTCACGGCTGTTAACTGGCGCGGGGTCAAATTTGAGTGGTCATAGATCGTGTGATTAGGCAACGCTTATCTTCATTTTCGTTTTATTGTACTGAGTTGTTTCCTAATTTCAATTTTTGTTCTGTGTGGTATTGAACGACTAAACTGACTGATAGCGCAGCATGGCAATGATCTACTTTTCCTAATTTGATGAGACCGGACGATTATTCGTGATTGCTATGGATGCAGTTAAAGATAGGAATAATAAGAATGAATAAGAAAGTTTGAAGATGGTGTTGAAAGTGAAAGCCTTTATCAGAAAAGGAGCATACATATTCTATTGTGGGGGCTTACAGAAGGTTACGTTTATGCAATCTCTAAATTTTTCCTGTTTCCTTCAATTACTTATTGATTTAATAGAAATAAGCAAAGATCGTTGAGGTTAAAAAAGGGATTTTGGGCTTCCATCTATCTCATCATAGAGCCATCGTCAGTGATTTCTGGCTTCGAACAGATTCACTTAATTGCCGGAAAGTTTCTATGAGTGAAGGAAAAATCCACTCACCCTCTCTGTTAGTAAAAGCTATTAAATATGAGATCCACCTCGATATTTTCTTATTATTCGGTGGAGTAAGCCGATAGCAAGAATATGCATTCTTCCAAAAAAGACTTGATTACAAACCGGTAAACCAAATTTGCGACTCCTTATTTGGTTCGAAGTGTTACTCTCAAAGCTGACGTGATGTTTTGCTTTCTTTGTCAAAATTCACCTACCCAAGTTACGAATTTTTTCTCTTATGATGACATTTTCTGCAACGACATTATTCCTCCATACTCCTCGTTTAGCAATAAAACTGCTCAACCCTAGTAAGCTCGAAAATTGTAGTATTTGTACTGCACTTTTCGCAGTACATGGTCATTCATACATTCCTAAAAGATTTGAATAGTGAAGAAAAACATGGCCTCATGCGGGAATCAGTCCCTCCTTTCATCTTATCTGGGGACGCGTGATTTACCTTTGCACCACTGAAGCACATTTGCGCCACCACTCATTCTTCAACATCTCCATGTTAGCTATCAGCCATCAACCTTTAACAGGTTTGGTCGGATATGTGATCTCGCTTTATAAACCCAATTGAGCTGCCAGCCATTGTGATAACTAACACTCAAAACTTCTAGTTTTTTTACCGTATTTTTTGCGCATATGATGAAACGCCGACTCAATCCTCGCCTGAAGCCGTATTTTTGCTCACCAATCAATTCTCATAGGAATCTGTTGATCTCGGCAATCAAGGTGCTGTGTCTGTGATGTTTTACAGCGTGAACTAACAAATCGTAATTCGTTTATTCATCTTGCATTATGATTGGTATGTTATCCGTAGTTTTTCCACTATTTTATTCCGTTTTGTTATATTTGTTCTCCAGTTCATCATTACTTACTCTTGTATCATTTCATTGCTGCAAGTAAGTGATCCCGAAACAGATGAAGAAACCACCCCTCTCTCTGGGCAATAATTATTGGTAGTAGTGTTAGCATCTATTTCAAAGCTTCGAGCTCTAGCCACTGTACTACGTAGCTTTTTTGAATAAACCTTTTTATGATGCTGTAGCAGATGGAGAACATCTGTGTTTCACGCCCTCATATTTCTCGCAGGATAGAAGTGCTCTTTAGAACGAGTAAGTATTTGATAGCGTAAGCTTCGATGTTTCCAGCGTTGTACCTGATTTCTTAAAAAGCCGTTTCACAGCAATATGGCCGGCGAAATGATATAGAATTTCACATAGACGACGAATATGTTTGTTGGCTAGTGTGTGGTTTAGGTATCTGCTGACCATGAAGTCCATACGGCGTTCCACAATCGATCGATCTCTCTGATGCATTGCACATGTGACGTGCAATTTTTCTTAATTAATTGTAAAATTCTTACCCACTTTGACATAAGCTCCAGATTGACCGTATAACTCTGATACTACAAAATTTCTTCTACAGTCATTTGCTTTAAGTGCTCCAACGAACTGGTGATAAAAGCGCGCGTAATCTTATTTCAATGCTACAGCGTTATGAAAAGGTCTTTAAGGATGACTATATTGCGCTTTCACTAAAATTTCATGCTTGCGAATGATTAATAGTACTCATTCGAAAAATGCTTGCAAGCGAAAGGGATCGCTTCTTCATTTATTCTGAGACAACGTACCTGAACCATTTCATTTTCCCTTGTGCAGACACATTGAAATATGAGTTTTCGGGTCTCCTGGGGTAATTTTCAAAGTTAGTAAGCATTAAGGTGGCCTTCGTAGTGGCGGTCTTCTTATAGTTTTTACTGGCTGCTATGGCTATGAGCAACAAAAGAGCGGAAGCACCACACCATTACCAAACACTCTTGCAAGCCACTGACAGCTGTAGGTGTTCGATTTGTGATTACCTACAAGTAGCCGAGCGCTCATTTTGTGCTTATACACTTTATATTTTCCAATTATTCAATTATTTACGTACTCGTTTATTGCTATTAACATTGATGATGAATCATGTTCTTCTTCTTCAACTAAGGAATCAGGGTGACATCGCTTCACAATCATTTGCATTATTCACATCTGGAGACAGCAAAAGAGTCACAGACACATTTTCGAGAAATCGATCAGATGGCCAAGGAATATGTGGATGTTGTGAATAGGTTGTTTTTTATCGTTCACTTTTTTTCGTATTGAAAAGAAAAATTTTAGGGCAGACGAGCGTTCTTAGCAGTTACTTTTGTAGTGACGAAGTCTGCTTAGAATTAGAGTATTACTAGATAAAATTGATACGTCTCTGTGATGTTGGAACGATTGACTAATCATTACAAAAACAGGACGTAACTTATTTTTCTCTAAAGGCACTGAGAATGTCTTTTTAAACAAAGCGGGCTCTTATTGAAATCAGCATTTATCAGCCTGTCGATTACATAAATATTGACAAAATGAAAAAACTGTTTTAAAACATTTGGTGATACGTTTCTTTAGTCAGTCAACATTTTTTCTATCTGACTGATGATGTTACAGTATACCAAATAATGTGGAATGCTGTGCAAATTCAGTAATACGTTTCTTTAATCAGTCAGAATTCTTTTTATTTGACTGCCACTTGGTAGTATGATTCTGTAGTATACCCAGTAATGTGGAGTGTTGTGCAAAAACATTTGCTTCAGCCGGAATTCTAGCCCAGACCTCACTCTTTCTGGGAGCGTAAGCTAACCGTAGCAACACTTTCGCAACGGCTAGCATACGCTCCCGCAAAGAGCGAGATCTAGGTTCAAATCCCGGCCGACGCCAATGTTTTTGCACAGCACTCCACATTACTGGGAATACGTCTGTTTGCTGAACAGTGTTTTTTTCTCATGAAATTACAAAAAGTGAAGTTCTTGTAATGACATTCCATCACTATATCTCGAAAACGTCTTTACAGTGTCTCAGTTTAGCGAATAAATTCCTATATTTTCATTCCAAAGTGCGCCCATACAACTTGTCCGCCGTTCTCTTTGTGCGGCGCGGCGATCGGTTTCCCAATATGGTGCACGAGGTGCCGGACGGTTCAGCGGCTTGCAGCGC